CCGCCCACACCCACTGAGTATGGGAAGGGACACACACCTCCAGAGACCCCCAAAGGCCATAAGGAGGTCCTCTAAGAGACATGCAAGATGATGCCAACCCACAAACCCCACAGGAGGAGAAGGACTACCAAAGGGAAGGCTGCAACTCCGCCAGGACCAACTAAGTGGGAGGGGGCACCACGGCAGAGATACAAAACCCCCTACAAGGGAGCGCCCGAAGAAGCCCACCAAATGGAAGAGGACACATTACGGACGGACGAATGCCCACCTACACCCCCGAAGGAAGGAGAGGGAGGTAGAAGGGGACGGCAGAACCTCCTGGCCAGCCCCGCTACGTGGAGAAGGCATGCAAGCACAACCCCACCCCCGCCCCAGAAGGGTAAGTGAGGGAGGAGGTCAGGGCAACCAGACGCCAGCCCGCGCGGGCGCCCCGCTGCGTGGGACGCTGGCAGGAACCTGGTTCACCACTGGTAGCGCGGGGCGTGACTCCCCGAGCCAGGCGGTGCCGCGGAAGTGCGCCGCCCGATTGCCTGCGCCAGTCTGGTCCCCAGAGGGCTCGCTGTATTACTATATTGCGTGTACTGCTGCTGCCACTTCAAGTACCACGGCTACGACATTACTTTCGCGCTTACTGCGGCTGCTACCAATACCAGGGTCACTCATGTTACCAGCATGATCCGTATGAAGGCAACTCGACCGTCCTCTTTCGACCTCCTAACGGCAGCTGCAGATCCCCGAGTGGCCGAGGAGCTACACGTTCCTATGTCTCGAACCACCTCCTCGGCCTCATTCCCCTCCACATCCCCCCCTGCTCCTCCTAGTTACGTTGGCTCATGCTCATCCTCTTGCTCATGATCCTCCTCCTGGTACTCCTCTTCATGTACTCCCTATCCCAATCCTCCTGTTCCTCCTCCTCCTCCTCCTCCTCCTCCTCCGCCCCTTCCTCCTCCTCCTCCTCCTCCTCCTCCTCCTCCTCCTCCTCCTCATCCTCCTCCTCCTCCTCCTCCTCCTCCTCCTCCTCCTCCTCCTCCTCCTCCTGCATCCTCCTCCTCCTCCTCCCCCTCACGGCAAAATCACAATCACCTTGGTAATCCCAGCCCAGTCCTAGCCCAGAGACGCGACGTGCTTGTTTTTCAATACGGGGCCTCTGGAAGTCCCGATCCTTGACCCAAAATGCGGGCTTTCAATGAGGGGTAGTTTGGTTGACGGTCCTGGGGCCCAGTGCGGCCCCCCTCCGAGGCCGAAAATGGTCAAACACCTCACCTGTGATCCAACGGCGGGAAACTGAAACCTTTTAAAGAATCACGACCCGAGCCCTAAACACCACCTCACTGCTGCAATTCTCGAGCCCGAGATCGGTCTGAGGGGGTCCCGGGGCCTGTGAGACCTGGCGAAAAAAAAGCCCAGCTCGAAACAAAAGTGGAGACGCCAGGCACGGCGCGATTCTTCGCACGACGCGAGCACGACTGGGAGTCCGGGAGGCCGCCTCACACCAGCCTCCCGAGGGTTAGGTCGGGACTGCCCCCTACAGGGGGACTTCAGAGGACAAATTCAAAACATACCCCCCAAAGTACCTCCAAGTATCACAAAACAAATCGTCCCCAAACAATTGTTTGACTCTTTTTGGATATTCCTCCTGGACAGGCCCGCCTTAACCCGAGGGGGGGCGAGGGGGCGGGCGCGACCCAGGGGCCGCTGGCCCGGGATGCGGGCCGCGGAGGCCGCGGCCGTGCTCGGCCGCGGGGACGTTGAGGGTCGGCTCGGAGGCGGCCAGCTCCGCGGGCTGCTCCTGGCTGGCTGGCTGGCTGGCTGGCGCGCGCGCGCTGTTATGGTGGGCTTGTTTTCCACCACCACCACCACCACCACCACCATAAGTAGGAGTGGGAGGGGGTCCTCCTCCTCCTCCCCCTCCTCCTCCTCCTCCTCCTCCTCCTCCTCCTCCTCCTCCTTCCCTTCTTCCTCCTTCTCATCCTCCACACCCTTCCCCCCACCAACTTATGGTGGTGGTGGTGGAAAACAGGCCCATCATATCACACGGGGATCCAACGCCGCACGGCCCGCAACCGCGCGCCACGAGCGGCGAGCCGATCCGCAAGTGTCCGCGCCCTCGCGGTCTGGCTTCCGGGGCGCGCTGCCGCGGGCACGCGGTCGCACGGATGCGTGCCGCGCGGGGGCCTCCGCGAACAAAACGCTCCGCATGCGCCGCGGGGTCGCGGCCCAGGTGCCCGGGCCCGCGGGGCCGCGCGAGCTCTCCGCCGCCCCGGTGGGGTGGTGCTTCATCGCGGGAGAGACCTAGGCAAAACTCTTCTCCGTCCACAAGGGTCCTCGAGCCGAGAGTCTGCGAGCTCCCAGGGCGAGACGATGTTGGACCATCTGGAGACCCTCCCATGCCGAGCTAGCCCCGCGCTTCTGGCGCAACTTGCAGGAGCGTTGGCCCGATCTCTTAGCCTTTGCTTGCGACATCGCCCCCATTAGATAGCCCCTGTTCGTTGTGCGCTCTTCAGCGGCCGGCCCTGGCGCATGTCTCGGAGGATCTTCGAGGCACGGCCCGGTCTTCTCTCACCCTACATATTCGCCGAGCTGCGGGACGTGCTGCTTTGGATGGGGGGGGAGATTCCCATCGGTAGTTGAAAGTAGGTCGGAGGTTGGGGGATGAGGTCGAAGGTGGAACGGAGAGACCCCCACCTGGAACTTGGTCTCGGTTTCGGGTTCGTGTCGCGCGTGATGGCGAGGCGAAGCTGCGTGGGCGGGCCATAGGGATGACCCTGGTGTGGCCAGGGCGGGTCAAGACAAAAGACTGCCCCTCCGGTGGGCCGGAGTGGCCAGGGGTGTCCCGCCGTGGTGTCCCGCCGTGGTGTCCCGTCGGTGCCCGCCGGCGGTGGCCCGCCATGGTGTCCCGCCAGTGTCCCGTCGGTGTCCCAACCCGCCGCATCGTCGCCAAGTCGTGAGCACATCACCAGCACCGCCACCATCACAATCATCGCAGTTGTCCTCAGTTGGATCTTCCAGAAAGAGAGAGAGAGAGAGAGGGACAACAAACAAACAAAAACACACACACAAGGAGAGGCGGGATGAAGCTGGGGCACTCCCTCGCTCGCTCGCAGGCTCCCACCCCGCATCCTTCCCCCTGCTTGCTTCTCATGCTCCTTTCTCCCCTGCCTGCTCCTGCCCCTTCTCCACGTTCTCCCCTTACCTCCTTATCAGCCGAAGCGTGGCCGTATAAGTGTGTGTATGCGAGTATGTACATGTATACATGTGTATGCATGTGATTGCACGCGTATGTATATGTGTATGAGTATGTGTACGTGTACATGTATGTGTATGTATATGTATAGTTTGCTGTGCCCATCTCTATATATGTTTGTGTATGTATGCGTGTTGTGTATGTACATATGTAAATGTATGTGTACATGTACATGTATACTATAGACAGATGTGGTTGCACATGTTTGTGTACAGGTATATGTATGTGCCTGTGGCCTCGCAGCTGAATAGGTGTATGTATATGTGTGTTTATGTGTTGTGCAGATGTATATGTGAATGCACGTGTGTAGGCCTGCGCAGATGCATATGCAAAAGTATACGTGTATGTATGCATGTGTATATGTATGCATGCATGCGTGCATGTCATTGTGTGTACATCCCCAGTTGTATATGCATATAATTAAATACATGTGTGTATGTGTAGCTGTGCATGGCTGCCTATGCCTACGTATATATCTATATATATATATATATATACATAGAGGGAGAGAAGTATGTGCCTGCGTGTGTATATGTATATATATTCGTACTTGTATATACATATGTGTGTTTATGCATATATATATATATATATGTATGTATGTCTGTATGTATGTATGCACACTTGTATGTTTTTGCGTATGTACGTATGTACATATGCATTTAAGTTTGTATGCATGTGCCGATATACACCTGCACATGTATGGCTAGCATGTTAGACTTTTCGGTCAGACAAGAACCCAGAACGGCTCAAAAGGTCCCCAAGATCGTCCCAAGCAGTCTAAGAGGCCGCAGAGATTGCCCCAAGAGGGGTCGAATAGGGGAACACAAACTGACATTTCGAGCTCTTTCCTCCAAGACGGCCCCCGAGACCGCCTGCAGGCCATCACGAGGCCCTCAGGAGGCCCCCCAGAGGCTCCCAAGTGAGCTTAAGACTTCCCCAAGAAGCTCCCAAGAGGCAACCCAGGAGCCACCAATGTGCTTCTAATAGCCCTCTTCTCCACGACCCAGGCACGGTGGCTGGATGGGCCGAAGGTCTCTGGCACGAGTCGCTGGATCCGTCGCCTCCTGTTGGCTTGCCACAGGGGTGCCTGGCGTGCTAGATCCAACCGCTCTTGCTGTTGGTTCTTTTCCGAAAGAACTCCCCCTGGGGCTTTGGCCGATCTCGCCGGCCACCCTGGAGGCGCCTAAACGAGCACAACGCCCGGAACATATTCTCCAAGACGGCTCAAAATAGCCTCCGAGAGGGCACAGATGGCCCAAGATGGCCTCCAAATTCGCCCAAGATGGCTGTTCCGACGGCCCAAGAGGGTTCAAGATGCGTCTAAGTTCGCCGAAGAAGCCTCTCAGACAGCCCAAGAGACCCCCAAGAGACCCCCAAGAGGCCTCCAAGGCGGCGCAAGAGGCCTCCAAGAGGTCCTCCAGGAGGGCCCGAAGAGGCCCAAATCGTTGATTATCCTCTGGTTTTTGAAGGCTTTTGACATTTGCTTCTTTTCGGCCTTCCGACGGCCCAAGACGGCCTAAGAGGCCCCCAAGCTTGTCCTCCAAGATGGCCCCATGACGGCCCAAGAAGACCCCAAGACGGCCCAGAGGGAGGCCCAAGAAGACCCAAGAGGCCTCCATGCCGGCCAAGGTGCCCTCCAACCCGGCCCTGAAGCACCGCAAGAGGGCCCCAAAATGGTGTAGAGATGCCCCCAAGACGGCTTCAGATGGCCCAGGAACGCCGTAAGACGGCCAAAGAGGGCCCGAACAAGCCCCCCGAAGAGGCCGAAGTAACCCCCCAAGATGCCTCCAAGAGGCGCCCAGGAAGCTCCCAGGAGACCCCAAGAATGCCCCAAGAGGCTCCCAACAGGTCTACTCCTGCTGCTCCTCCTCTTCCTCCTCCTCTTCTTCCTCCTCCTCCTCCTCCTCCTCCGATTTCCTGCTTCTCCTCATTCTTCTCTTCCTCACGTGTTCCCCGAATGGCTTCAACGACGGCTGGCGGAACACATTGTCCAATAGTTTGGCTAATCTCTATCTAGCCCAACTTTCGGCCACATAGACACCTCCCAAAAGGCAGGGGGCGGCGGTGATTCGCCGTAGGCGTCTTCGATAATCAACACGTTTCAGACTAGAACCGTATTCGCCCTGTGCCCCACCCTGCAGCGGTCCTCGCTGGGAGCGCGCTCCGTCGCCTCCATGGCCAGACGCAACGATCTGAACGACTCCTCACCTGGGGGGACGCATTGTGTGTTGAGGTCCAGGAACCGAATTATGCAAAACACAATCGCACGACGCGCCACTCTTGAGCAGAGACCGACCGTCCTGGCATTTCGATGGGGCTACCACGGAATGTTCTTAGAACCCAGAACTGTTCCAATAACAAAACAATGTTCTTAGCACTGAAACCCAATGTGTTAAAACAAAACAGACTCAGCCAGAAATGTTCTAAGAACATTTCGTGCAGACCACAAAAGGTTCTAGAACATGATTTGGTGGGCCTTTAGGGGAGCAAGGACGCTTCGCCACTGCTTGACACTCGTCGTACAATCGAATTCGGGTCTGCGCCAGGCTCGCTCCGCGAGCGCATGCCGCTACACACACGAGCGTATACCTCGCCAGGCCGAGTCCCCCGCGTCCGAAACATACGTTCTGTGGGGGCGGAATGCCACCGCAACGGACAAAGCACACACAAGCATGGGGAAACGCACGTATGTTGTAGACGAGAAAACGCAGGAGGAGCAGGAGTAGCTTCCGCCCCAATCTTGCAGAGAAGCGGGGGGTCCAGAGGCGACCGAGGGAGGGGTGCGCGTGTGACCGAGCGTGGTCATCGAGCTGTTCGAGCCGTCGCAGCGGTGATGGGAATCTCCTCCATGAGGAGTTGCCCGCCCTATGCCTGGAAGCTGGGTCCTGGTGCATGCCGTGCGCCCTGATGGTGCGCCTCAAAGGTTCAGGGGGTAAGGACCCTCCTCCCCGGCTTTCAGCCCTTGGAGGAGCCCGAAGACTCCACATGACATGGTACAGCCGCGCAACACATCATAACCAAGAGTCCTCGCCGACAAATGTCTGCGCTAGTGTTAGGCCGGGCATGTCCCCCTAAAGGCGGATTTTGGACGAAACATGGAAATACTAAAGAAATGCCCCCAAATGTTTAAAAAATACTCAAACAATCGTCCCCATATTATTTTTGGACCGTTTTTGAATATTCCTCCTGTAGGGGGACAGGCCCAGCTTAACACTAGTTCGATACCTGGGACAAGTCGAGCACGTGTACCTGAACTCGCGCACGGAGGGAAGGGAATGAAGGGGCCCTGGGACACACAAACAAAAAGACACAACTAACAGGGTTCCCCCATCTTTTCCCATACGTTCTGGGTGTTCGTCTTCCCCCCACTTCCCATATGTTCCCATATTTTTTGTGTGGGATCGACGATTCATTGTGTCTGTGTGTTTTTTCCCTCCTGAGGGAAGGAAAGGAGATCCAGCAGCTGCAGTGCCAGATTCCTGCCGCTTCTGTGAACAATCGCGGGGCTGCGCGGCACGGTGCCACGAAGGGAGCGCGGTGCCATGCTTAGGTCGGGCCTGTCCCCCCAAAGGGGGATTTTGGACGAAACATAAAACAGAGTCAACAGATACGCAGAAGATGCTCGACAATACCAACATATCGTCCCCAGGCTATTCTTTTGCTATTTCTGAAAACTCCTCCTGTCGAGGGGCACGCCCGACTCAATGCCATGCCGTGAATGCGGACTGGCGAAATCGGGCCGAGGCCGAAGGGGGCGCGATGCTGGGAGAGGGGGGAGCGGGGCTCGGGGCTGGCTGGTCGGGGCGGAGAGGGGGCTGATGCCGTGCCGTGCGTGCGGGGTGCCGTGGGTGCGGGATAAGACCGTTGGGGCGCGGGGCTGCCGGGAGAGGGGGCAAGGCTGGCTGGCTGGGGGGGGGGTCGGCGTCGTGCCGCTCGCGGAGGATGAAGAATTCGGGGAGGAGGAATCGCAGGGCTGCCGGAAGAGGGGCGGGACGGGGGTGGCCGCGGTGCCATGCGGTGCGCCATTTCCCGTGCATTTTTCGATTTCGTGCGTGTTATTTTTGTTCGATGGTCCAGGATGGTCCTCAAGGGTCCCCGCCGAAACAAAAATACACACGTCCGAGCGATGCCAAGAATATCGCAGATCTCACGGGGCTCTGAAACGAGAGGAGTCGGGGGTGCCAAAATCAGCCGTGTCACTTGAGACGCTCCCACAATCAACTCTGACCATCTGGCCACAGACGGGCAGGTGCAGCAGCCCTGGCGGTTCCCCCTTGGGATGCCCAAGTGCTAGGCGTTGAGCGAGCAAGAATGTGAGCGGTCTGAGTGTGGTGCGTCTGAGTGTGAGTGAGTCTGCGTGTCAGTGGTTCTGAATGTGAGTGAATCTCGCGGCGGGTGAATAAGAGAATGAGCGAGTCTGGGTACCAGTGGATCTGAGTAGGTGTGGCCCGAGTCCGTGGTAGTAGTATGAGAGCGTCTGAATGTCATTGAGCCTGCGTGCGAGTGACCAGTGTGCACGTGCTTTGTGTGCATGAATCTGGGTATGACTCAAGCCGAGTCTGCCTGGATCTGGACGTGAGCAGGGGAAAGCAAGCGGGAAGAACGAGGGAAGGAAGAGGGAGAACGGAGGGGCGGAGACGCCAAACAAATGAACCGCTCGAGACATCTCCACACTCTGGGCGCGAACGGGCAAGTGTCCCACTGTCTGGCGGCTCCTCCTTGGGATGCCCCAGTGCCACGCCTGCCATGCCGCGGTGATCACGAGGCGCTCTACAATAGGAGTCTGCTTTGCAAAACGGGCAAACCACATGGGAAATCCCCACGGTCTGTGCGCTCACGGGCAGACGTCCGCCTCCCTGGCTGCTCCTCTTTGGGGTGCACAAATGCCGCGCCTGTTGCAACACGGTGAACATGAGGCTCTTCAGCGAGAGGAACCGGCCCCGCAAAACGAGCAAATCGCCAGAAACTTCACCACGATCGGGGCGCGAACGAGCAAGTGCCTCCCTCACTGTCGGATATCCCTTTGGGGTGTCCAAGTGCCACGCGTGCAATGTTGTGGCGATCGTGAGGCTCTCAGGAGACCAGAGTCTGAACCACCAGACCAGCAAACCACATGAGAGATCCCCACAACCTGACCGCGAACTAGTTCAGATACCACCTGGCGGCTACTCCCTTAGGTTGCCCACATGCCACGCCTGCTATATCGCGGTGGCCATGGGGCGCCCAAATGGAGGCGCCGCGGGCTGGCACTCGGCATGCCAGCCAGCGCGCGCGGCATTCGACCCAGCGCAGATGTATATGCACCGAATCAGAACGGACGCGCCGAACCCGCACCAGGCACGCCGCGCACCCCTGCCGCGAGCCGTTCGCACTGCCAGCTGCAGCACGCCGCCATGTCCGACCTGACCGGCGTGTAAACTGGCAGATTGGCACCGCATTGACGAAGCTCGCGCGCCGTCTCAATGCCGGGCTGCGCACAGCACGACACATGTGCAACGGATGCCAACTTACACATGCTACGTAAAGCCGTCCTTGGAAAGCACGCCCTTGAGGCAACCATAAGGAGGGTTTGCGAAGCCTGCGAGAACACAGCTATGCTGAGAGCAGGTACCTGATACTTTTGACGCCACTTGGAGGGCCCTCTGGAGGATGCACGAAGCTCTGTTGGTTGGCTCTGGCACTGTACATATATGTGTATAAAGTATCTGTATTGACCCTACCACGCTGTCACGTAGCCTGCAAAAACGATCAGAAAAATGACCCGCAGATGTATTCGCGGATCCCTCGGTGAACAGTGCAGATGATCGGCCCAGTCATAGCTGCGCTGATATGTTACAAACGCCCCACGGAACATGCAAGCTGTCGGCAATGTCGTGCATGCGCGTTGATGTGTGCGTCGTGCTCGCAGTCTGGCATGGGATCTGGCATCCATCGCCGCAAGGGTGGTGTCGGAGATCCACCCCCGTCTCTGTGCGCGTCCATGTGCTGACTTCTTGGCAGGAAAAGAAATCTTGCACTGCCTGGCGGACGTGGGCGCCGCACGTGTGTGTGTGTGATATGAGGCATCGGCTGTGAAGTCACCTGGCAGACATTGTGCGATCCTCGCACAAAATGCTGCCAGGGCGGTGGGAGTCTGGAGGAAGGAGGGAGGGGGGAGGAAAACTGTTGTTGTGACGACGATCCCTGAGTCGCCGTCGGCACAGCCCGTGCTCACGACGCCCTCCCCGAGGGTGTTGGGTGACGAGCGGTACACCTGCCCGTCCTGCGGCGGAGGAGAGAGGAAGGGATGGGCAGAAGGCGAACCAAAGAAACGGAGATGCGACCAAGAATGTTCAGATGAACAACGGGACATTCCAAATACAAAAAAACCGAACCGGGAGATGTCCTCTATCGGTGTCGGGGTTTCTATGTTCGTTTGTAGAATTTCCTGGTTCGTCCCTCCGACATCCTGGAAGAAGGCGGGGGGACTGAAAAAGGGGGGTGATGATGTCGACTAGGGCGTTCAAGGAAGAGGGGGAGAAGGAATAGGTAGACAAAGGTGGACAGCGCAGCGCCAGGCATCGACTCCCTCCTCCTCCTCTTCCTCCTCCTCCTCCTTCCTCTTCATCCAGCTCTTCCTCGTCCTGGTTCCCTTTCGTTCCTTCTCCTCCTCATCCTCCTCCTCAAAAGCAACACCACAATTATTATCATCTACATTCGCGTCATTATCATCTTCTTCCTCATCGTCATCATCGTCAACATCAGCATCACCACCATCACCATCAACATCATCAGCATCGCCAACATCAACATCATCGCCATCATCAACAGCATCCTGGTCATCATAAGCATCATCGCCATCGTCCTCTTCAGCACCACCACCATCACCATCACAATCATCATCGTCAGCAATACTATCCTCATCGTCATCGTTATCACCATCATCATTATCATCACCAACAGCATCACTATCAAAATCACCATCAACACCAGCAGCAGCAACATCTCCATCGCCAGCATTATTACCAGAGTCATCGTGAACGTCTTCTTCATCATGGTCAATATGATGATTTCCTCTCCAGCGACAACGCAACTCACCCAAGCAGGCGTGAGGTCCCGCAGCTTGCTCATTGAACGGCGCAGCCACGGAGCCAGAGATGCGCGAAACCGAAACTGCGACAAAAAAATGTAAGCAATACGTATGTGGGTTGGTGACGGAAGAGTCGAACCTACGCGGGTTGCCGTAGGTAGAGGAAGGTGAGGGGGAGGGTCGCGGCCCCTTTATTCCCATGCGCCGCGGGCAGGCGGCGGTGTACCAGCCTCCAGTACCTGAGCCGAGACGGCAGCAGTATACATAGAAATCATGACGATATGAGCGGGCTTCGCACACAGACATGGGAGGAAGAGGACCAGGACCCAGCGCTACGGCAGGGGGAGACGTGGAGGCGAAGGAGCGGGCGGCGTGGTTGCCCAACTCGGCTGCTACGCGCAGCAGCTGCTTCAACACCCTAGCAGACCAAAGGGCAAACAGACGAGGCGACGAGAGGAAGAGCGCGGAGGAAAGGAATGACGAGGCATGAGGCGCGAACCATGCTGTTGAGCGTGCATCCCCCTATGGTCCAAACAGCCACTTACATCATAAGGCACCACTCAAGCCAGCCAAAGAGAGAAAGCACAGTACCAAACGAATTTCAGCACACGCGGATGGACGCGGATGAAAGAACCAGGTAAGCCTGGATCCTCAGAGGCCAGAGCGAAAGTAAGTCACATCGCGTAATGATGGGCGCATGAACTCGCCAAGCAAAGTGGCATCACATACACTGCGGGAAATCACAACGCGCGTGGCGGCGGAGAAGGTGGCAAGAAGGATGAGCCCGAACATGGTGCCCAGGTGTGACCATCATACGCATCAGCATCATCAGCATCATCATCTCAGCATCATCATCATCATCATCATCATCATCATCATCATCATCATCATCATCATCACCAGCGTCATCACCATGATCATCATCATCATCCTCATCATCATCATTATCATGATCAACATCATCATTATCATTATTATCATCATAATCATCATCATCACCATCATCATCATCATCATCATCAGCATCATCATCATCATCAGCATCATCATCATCATCATCATCGTCATCATCATCATCATCATCATCATCATCATCATCATCATCATCATCATTAGTATCCCCCTCACTCTCCACTTCCTCCCGAAAGCGGTCCTTTCCCTTGAACTCCACGGTTTCCACCTGCCACTGACTTTGGGCCGCGTCAGCGCCGCCGCCAGTACCTGGGAGGCCCCCCTGGGAACATCACATGATCATTTTGCGCCTACTGCAGCGCCTCAACCAAATACACCTCTCCGCTTCCCTCATCAACCCTCGTCGTCCTCCTCCTCACCCACCACCTCCTCAGCGTCCTCATTCACACCATCATGTCCTAGGCGTCCTGCTGGCGCAGCATTACCAGCATCACCGTAACCACAACATTTGGCCAGCAGCGTCTTCTCCAAGCTGCTCAATACCCTTACTACTCATCAACAACGTCGTCCGCTTTGTTATCCACTCCATGTCCCCCACCGCCTCTCTTCAACCTGCGAGGAAAAGGGGGCGTACTGGCGTAGCTTCAACCTGAGATTCTATCTGGCCTCGAACATGCGCCGCAATCGCGCTTCCACGCATTGAAGGCTCTCCATGATCGACGACTCGAGACTCGAGAGAAGGCATCCGTGATGACAAGGCTGCCCGCCGGAGAAAGTGTTGTCTGCGCGCGCATGATTTTTCTGATCGCCTCATTAGACTGACCAGGGCATCCTTATCCTCACCATCATCCACCTCATCCTCGCCACCGTTCTCATCAAGGTCACCTGTGATGCGCACTGAGATTGGTAGAATGAGGCACCACTCTCATTGAATCACATTGGCCCCGCATCAGTCATTTTCCCGCCCATCTCGGCCGACCGCAACCTAGCAGTGGAGATGGAGGGGCAACGAAAGGGCGAACAGGAAGAGAACGAGAGGAGAAGGACAAGATCAATTCGGCCTGGGTGCCTGACCGTCCCAACGTCGCGCGCGCTTCTCTTCTCGACACTTTTCCCCGAAAGCGCACGCCCACGCCCACGCCCGACGCGGCCTGTCGAGCACACGCCCTCGCCCGCTGGAATGCGACTGGCATAAGATGGTGTTATTATTATTAGTGTGATGCTTTCGGCTCCCGCTCCCACTCCCGCTCCTCCTGCCTTCTCCCTCTCAGATCCCTCATGCTCAGACGGACTCATACTCAGACCGATTCACCCTCAGACGGACTCACACAAAGACTCACTCGCCCTCAGACTCACTCACACCCGACGCAGACTCTCTCACAGCAGACTCACGCACACCACGAGGACGCCCAGGCAGGCCGGGCGCGGGCCACTGCAGCTCTTGAGTGCGCTGGCACGAAGTGGCCCTGGAAGCAAGATGACGAGTGGCAATGGCGCGACGAGATGCTGCCTGCCAGAGGAGAGCAGCAGCGTGCCGGAGGAGCTTGCGCAGCGCGCTGCGAGCGCAGCCGCTTCATTACCCGAGCGCAGAAGCCCCGCCTACGAGCGTCACGCGGTCTGATCGGGACAGGTGGCAGCTGAGGCTTTTAGGCCAGGGGGGGCAGGCACTGCTGAATGCACGCGTCGTCCAGCGCCAAACCAGTCTCTGCTTCTGCATCCGCTGTTGCGGCAGCCACATGTCCAGGGCTGCTGCCGAGAGGGAAATGCCAAAGAGCCGAGGTGGGCAACGACGGCCAAGAGCAACTGTGACCCATAGATTTGGGCAGATCTTCGAATCAGTGGCCCCGTGCCAAGCACATGTCCCTACCTAGACACCCACCGTCGTGATGTGTTCACGACGTGGACCCCATGAGATCTAGACCCTTCCACTGGACAACTTTGCTCATCACGAGTACGTAGTCGCTCGACGGCCCCGGAGCCTGGGAATGGCCCCTGAGGCCGAAAACGGCCAAGAAAACCTCTCGTCGTTTTTTTTGTGCGCGACGCAAGGGGGTCTGGAAACACCTGCCCCTCTCAGAGCCAATCCCGCTCAGCCCGACCGACCTGATGGCGCCCGCCGCGATCCCACGGGGACGCACTGACCCGGGTCAGTGCAAACCCGGGCCAGTTTGGCTTTGCAGGAACCTGACAGATCCTGCAGGACCCTGCACGCCTGGGCCAATGCAACCCCGACGTTGCAGGATCCTGCAAGATCGGACGCGCTGGCTGTCCCCCGTTTGCATCGACCCCCGTCTCAAGGCCTACAGGCGGATTTTGGGTTAAAAATGAGAAATAACATAAAAGTAAGCAAAAATATAGAAAATCGCCTCCTTACTATTGTTGGCCTATTCTTGAATATTCCTCCTGTAGAAAGACAGGCCCGACTTAACTCGAGGCTCCCGCCTCTCTGGCAGCTCAAGAAGACTGGCGAACGCGCAGCCCGGCAGCGCAGGCCCCTGCAGTGATGAGCCTGTTTTCAACCTCCACCACCACCACCATCAGTTGAAGGGGGGAAGGAGGAGGACGACCAGGAGGAGGAGGAGTAGGACTAAGAGCAGGAGGAGGAGGAGGAGGAGGAGGAGGACGACGACGAGGAGGAGGAGGTGGAGGAGGACCCCCTCCCCTTCCAACTTGTGGTGGTGGAAAACAAGTTCATCATGCAGGAGACCCCGAGCCCAGGGATTTGCCCCAGCCAGGCCGTCTTGCGAGAGGTGCCGCCGCCGGGAGCTGCTGCCGCACGCGTGGCACCGGGCGTGCTCGCGGCGCGAACAAAATCACGACGGGAAGTTTTTGGCAGTTCTCATTAAGTCGGGCATGATCCCCTACAGGCAGATTTTTGACGAAAACTTAAAACATAGGAAAAAAATGCCCCAAAGTAGCCCAAAACATCGTCCCCTGACTATTTTCTAACAACTCCTGAATATTCCTCCTGTAGAGGGACGGGCCCGACTTAAACAAAATCGCGACGGGAGGTTTTTTGATGTTTTCATTTGTTCTCGGCGGTTTTCCACCACCAACAACATAAGTTGGAGGGGGGTGGGGTCCTTTTCCTCACCCTCGGTGACCTCGGTAACCGATGCGCGCCTGGTCACTCCACGAGCAATCGACGCACAACTACAAGAGGAGCACCTGGAAAGACTGGCCCAATCGAAGGAGAGGCAGGGGCAAGGGGGGGGACGGGGCGAAAGGGGGAAGACGGGCAGGGACGAAAGGGGAAACGACTGGCCGAGCCTACGAGTGTTTCCAGGAACCTCACCCCTCAAAAGCTTGGACCTCTCCGAGCTCTTCTTGGGGTTGGTGCAAGGATTACGGAGCTTCTCACTTACTCGGCAAGAAGCAAAAGCCCCGCATACAGCACAAACAACATATGGAATGTCTGAGCACAACTCTCTAGCCCAATGAGACCGGCGCCCACCTCCCGCCCACCCGTCAAGAGAAGCGAGAGGGAAGGGTTGAGATCCTCGCAAAGGCTGGAGGTGCTCAGACTGACAACACGAAGGCACCGCCCGCACCTGAAGACATCTCCATGGCGGACGGGGATATGAAGGCTCGCACGTATCCTTGCCACGGGTGGCTCCGGAGTCCTCTTGAGCTTGCCGAAAATGGATTCAGTGCTACGATAACACGCGAGGACATCGCAAACTCCTGCGCACAGACTCTGGTATTGTTTTTTCCTGCGCCCTCGAAAGCTTGAACTTCCGCTGGCGCCAGATCATGAATGTTCACGCATTGCTTGGCCCACCAATCCGCAGCAGTAGACCCAGCAACAAGATCACGGACATCACGATCGAGCACGTCATTCATGTCTCGATGGGCTTTGACTCTGCGAAGCGAGACCCAAGGAGAAGCATGCCCAAGATGCCGAGCCAGCCCCTTCCAAAAGAAGCTAAAGCGGGACGAACCTCCTCAAGCCCTCGGTGGGTTCACAACGCCCATAAACAACGATTGGTAGTCCACGACGACGGGACTGGGCCGTTCGTGAACACCGTGGGCAGCCCTACGCAACACAGCAACTGCCAAAGCTGCATGCTCCGAGATGCCAGACGTTCATTCGAAGTCGCACGGAAGGGGGCAATGAACTCCACGGACTAGAGTTTCGCCCGACATATGCACACCAGCAAAGCCTCCTCGCGCAATTTCCTCGCGTTCACCATGGAAGCAGCTGCCATTAGAAAAACAAGCGATTCTTCTATGACAAACTGAAACGGTTCGCAGGGAGTTCCACTCGGTCCCTCAAAGAAACGCAGATCCCAATCGGGCGCAGGGGTTGACGCGCCTTGGGGACCTATGATCAGACGCGAGGCTTAAAAAGTAATCAGCTAAAATCTGGCTTATCACCTCGTCACTGAAGTGTTCAGACCTCGCTGTTACTGGCAACTCATGCTGACGCAGCCGCATCCCGCGCCAACGGCTGCCACCAGGTCCTCCATAACGGGCACTCATCATCAACTCGGTAACCCCACTTGATAAGGGCCTGTGAGGCGGGGACCGAGTTGTTGGAGAGCACCTGCCTATATAAATGTTCCTGCAGAGGGGGAAGAGCTCGCGCTACTCTTTGCATGGCAGGTGGCCATCGCCCAGCCTCTCGGCAAGCTGGGCCAAGCGAAACGACAAATTTACGGAGCAAGCAGTTGGCTAGATCACTAGCGAAAGCATCGGCCACCTGCTGCGGTGGGGACTCCGTGAGGATCCATCTCCGCTCGGTGGAACTAACGAAAGTGGCCGGCCCCTCCCAGCCCCACCCAGCCCTCTCCAACCGTGACAGCATCGCAGACACGGGGCCCCTGGTCCGAAAAAGCCAAGGTCGCCCTCCAAGTGTCCTGAAGCTGCGCCGAGGCCGAGTGAAACGCCTTGCTTCAATCACCCGGGCTCAGTGCATCTTGGTGGACTGGCCCTCCATGGGGCCCAGGTTAACACGCATGCCACCATTGCCAAGCGAACCCCTGCAAGGGTCCTGACGCGAGAACTAGAGGGTCACCTTTCCATTTAGACAACGCCCGCATAAGGTCCAAGTTTGATCCTCTCTTAGATATCCCATACATCCGTCCAGCAGCCCGACGATGCCCAATAATCTCGTTCGGAGCAACCCCGTGAACCTCCGTCCCATAGCTGGTAACAGGAAGAGCCCCAGTACGGAATAATATAGACTTATACTTCTCGGGGACCTTGGGTGTCTCCAGCCTAGACATCCGATGTTCGAAGACCCTCATTCGTTGTGTTTCTATATCTTTGAAAGCCCTCCTTGCAAACGGGTGCTGCTGGTGCCGCCCCGCGGTGAGAGAAACACCCAGGTCCCCAGGGCCCCGCTCGGGGGCCCCTGCCAACTCCTGAAGCCCCTCCTTGCTGGAGTTGGCCGCCGCATACATCATATTGACGGCGAGAGGCACCTGCGGCGCGTCGTGGATGCGACGAGCAAGAAACGCGGCCGGGATCTCGAGCTGGCCGACGCACATCTGCATGGGCTCGCGCCGCGCATGAGTAGACAGGTCATCGACATGAAGCCCTTGAGAAGTGAATTCGCTTTCGGAGCCCGCTTGCACTGTGGGAAGCATGAAAGCCGTCGCTTCATAACTGGGAGAACCTTGGCTTCATAAGGGGCCGGGGTGCCCCCCGCTACGATGCCCCTGGACGGCCACGAGGGTTCCGCATCAGCCCCATCCAAAAACAAAAAACCGCTTCCAGGAGTACGTTCCCGCGGTATAAGCCAGAACGTAAAACGGGAAAATCGCCCTCATAGCCTCCCCCAAATATGTTCTGCTGGATATGCTCGTAGAATTTCATCAGGTCTCAAAGTAGGGTGGCAAAATTTATGCGTTGGCCAGTACGCAGTTCCGCCCTGACGCTTTGCCTCAAAACAATATCAAGGGCCGAACGGCCCTGACCCATGGACAATTCAAGGCCCAAGCCGCAAGACATCTCCCAAGTACGACAGGGGGGCGCGTGAGTTTCCCCATGCAGTCTGGTAGATCCATTGTAGTGTCCTATAGGGCGACGGCCCTTGTTGACCTGCGGCATGAGGAGCACGACAAGCTGGTGCATGGAAGACGGCGCCTGACCGACCATATCCATAAGGTGATATATCACCCCCGAAAAGTCCAGACCAGGACCCGATAACAATGAAACATGGCGGGTGTGAAGTCCATCAGGGGCACGCGTCCTGGATTTGAATCCCTGGCTGCTCTTCCTTGCGTTACTTCCAGATCCCGGAGGTGGGGCAGGCACCTCGCCAGTAAAAGAAAAACCTCCCGGCCCAGCAGGAGCTTCGGAAGCTTGCCAAGCTGCCTGCCAAAGACGTCGCCCCACTCTGAGCCGCCGAGGTAGAGCGCTGGAAAAATCGTCATCGAGCTGTGCAACCACCTCTGTCAGGGGAACACCTGAGCGAAGAAAAGAACACGCCTGCTTGCAATGGTTGCTGACCGAATCAGAGCACCATTTCTCCCAAGAAAGCTTAGCCCCCTTCCCTTCCTCCGGCTGTCCAACCCTCTCCCGAAGCTGCCCAGCGCTGGAAACCTCGCCGATCAAAACACGCGGGCCATCTCCCCGCTATGGGAACAATAGTCGGCTAGCAACCCCTGCGTCCAATGACGCCGAAAAGGTTCTCCTCTGCGCGGAAGACATGGATCAAGAAGGTGCCTGCGGTAATCTACGCGATCTCCTGGGCGTTCGAAAAGCCTCCGAAGTTCCCGAAGACGGTTGAGCACCCGCAAAATCGCCCTTCCTGGATAAGCATGCCGATAACTCTTGGTGGTCAGGAGGGTCCGGCTGCTGACTTGGCGGAACTGAGCGGGGGCTCCTAATTCGAAGCCTCGAGGGCTGTGAGTTTGGGTTACCTCCAGAACTTCCTTCCAAGCTCGATTCCTCCACTCCTCGAAGACTTCGCCGAGCAGCCGAACTCCAGCCTCCCTCGACTCTCCTCGAAGCATGTGGGCCGAACCCCCCTCCTCCTCGAACTGTTCCATAAAGTTCCCAAGACGACTTTGGAGATCAACGTATTCTGGGGGGGCGCAGGAGGAGGTCCCACTGCCGGCTCAGTGGGCACGCGCCGATACTTGTTAGGGATGCGCGCACGCACATCTTCATCACAGTGCCAAAGAGACAGGTACACAAGCCGATGCGGGCTGAATGCGCCGCTCAAGTCCATCTTCACATCGCTGGCTAAGTGGTCCAGCAACCGACTGACTATGAAGAAGTCAATCGCGGCGGCAGCATCGTCCAAAATAAGATGCCCTTGGCGATCGCCTGTAAGATCACGAGGTTCGTCCCAAGAAGCCCAGTGGAGTCTTTGAAATCAACCGAATACAAGGCCACCAACCCAAGATGCCCAGTCCGCGAGAAACGCCGAATTGCTCGCCCTTAAACAAGACAGCAGCTGGTCCCAGGGGGAAGCCAAACGCCCAAGTGCCCGCGAGCAACTAGCATAGTCCCTCCAGAAGGATTTCCAGAATCAGTAGACAGACAGTCAGGAGTGAAGACGCTCCACTCTGATTTCTGAACACTGGCAAGAGTACTCTGCAGGAGCCCTCGCCGAAGTTTGTGTTCCGGGAGAAAACGCGTCAAAGCTTGCGCCCCCTGCAGTAGTTCACGAAAACCGAGACCCCTCTTACGGCTGGAAGTTCCATTGGCTTCGTCCTGAGCAGCCCCGTGCCAGCTACTCCCATTGAGCGTTACAGAAGCCAGGCCAGGAAGAGACTGCTTAGACCGAGACCCATGATGCGCAAAAGCCTCCCCGCATCTCCTACACTGACGCTGCCCAAAGCTGGAAACGCGGCCCTCATCATCAAAGAGTGTCCCATTCCGAGCCGCCTGGGTGGTTCGGTGTCCCTGGCGCCCGTGGTCCTGGGTAACGAAACCTGGCCTTCTTGCCCTGGGCTCGAACGGCCGGGAAGAGCTCGCGCTTGTGCGACTCAGACAGCCCCGCGACCGACGCCACCGCCTGCCCCCAGTCCTCCTTATCCACATGCATGGGCTGATCAGGCATGTTCGGTGCTCCAATGGTGTCCTCCGCATCGGATTCGACAGGTCCTGAGGATACTCCAGGGTTGGGCCGCAACACCCCGCTGAACTTGGACTCCAGGGCCGTGTAAGCGGACTCAAGCGACGACCGAAGAGCAGCAGGATTGTTCTGGGCCCCGAGACCATAGAGGTGGGCCTTGAAGGCGTCCAAGTGCCGCGCGGACTCATCACCCTTGGGCAACACTGGGGCGAAAGCGGGGGTCACGACCTTCTTGCGTGAACCAGCCAGCTCCACACGCTCCTACTCCAAGTCAGAAGCCAGCTGGTCATGCTGAAGTTGGAGATCGGCAGGTGTCTGCAGCGAGCTCTTCAAGAGAAGCTTCCATGTGAGAAACCCTATTCTCCCTCCTCCGAACCTCCTGCTCGACCTTAGCCAGCTTCTGGCTAGCGGGCGTGGCCTCCTGCTTCTCAGTGAAGACGGCGTCCCAGGCCGAGCTGATGATCTGGCGGACCGCGGGAGAGAAAGAAGATCTGTTTGTTTGCCTTCCGCCAACTGCTTGAGCCGATGGAGGTCGTCAACGGGGCTGGGGTATGACTGGCGCTGTCCCCTGCCCTTGCCGTCACCGCGATACTTCTGATACTGCTGACCCCCTTTCCCTCCACGAGACTGCTGCCCCCAAACACCTCCCTGCTGAAAACGAGGCGGACCACCACGAAGCACAGAGAGAGGAGACTTGCAATGATAGCAAAACGTGAAGTGCGAGGGGTTCTTCTTACAACCACACGTGGCACACCCAATCCACCATCGGCTTGACCCCCTTCCACGCTGGCGATGGTACATCACTGTGCTCAAAGAGCGAGAGAAAGCTCGAAACGAGTGCGCTGAAAGCCTGGGCCGAGGCAGCCAAGCCTGAGGAAGGGGCTGCCCTTCCACCTCGGCCCTCGAACCTTGGGAATCGAGACCGGGGAGGAGTTCCCGTCTTGAGCCAAAATGGTTACGGCTCCTCCTCCTCATCCTCCTCCTCTCCCTCCTCCTCCTCCAGCTCCTCCTCCCCCAGTTCCTCCTCCTCCTCCTCCTCTTCCGCCTCCTCCTCTTCGTCCTCCTCCTCCTCGTCCTCCACCTCCCTCCCCCCTCAAACTTATGGTGGTGGTGGAAAACAAGCCCATCACGAGAAAAACCGCGACGGGAGGTTTTGGCAGTTTTCCTCCGTTTTCGGCGGTTTCCCAACGTCGCGACGTCTCTTCGCCGGCTGCGCCGCGCCGACGGCGTTCCAGTGGTGCCCACATCGCCCCGAAGGGCTACCGGAGACCCGACCTCTGACCCGAAAGCCACCGTCGCCGTGACAGAGATCACGACGGGAGATTATGACTGCTCTCGGCCCTTTGGGGCCCCCGCTGGGCCCCAGGACCGTCAAAAGACGGCCCAGGATGAAACACCGTCACTGGGGAACAGGTGGAGACCTCTGATGAGAAACGTCGAGACATCGGATGCCTGGGGCGACCTCGTCGAAGGAGACTTGGCCCGGGTCATCGCGCGAGGGCGCCAGGCCACGCCCCGAGGCGCCGCCAGACGCTCGCGCGCCGGCTCGCAGTCGAGTGTGCCGCCTGCTGACAACGACCTGGCTGCAAGCACCGACGGTAGCTCCATGCTCGCTCCCCAGGGGCCCTGCCCAGCCGGCATCATCGCACCCTCCCCTCCCCTACCTTCCCTACCCGCATTGGGAGGGCTAGTTGAGACATCAGCGGTTCTCCCACCAGAGGAGAAGGAGGAGGAGGAGAAGAAGAGGAGGAGGAGCAGAAGGAGGGGAATGATGAGAAAGAGGATGAGGGAGGAGAAGAAGGAGGAGGAGGAGGAGGAGGAGGAGGAGGAGGAGAGGAGGAGGAAGAGGAGGAGGGAGGAAAAGAAGGAAGAGGAGAAGGAGGAGGAGGAAGAGCAGGGCGGACGAGGTGGGTGAGCAGGAACAGGAGAGGGGGGTGGATGAAGGAGGGCCGCCAACGTCGCAACCGGGCCTCCTCTGACACGCCCCCTGCCCCCTCCCCCGGCCTCCCCTCCACACGGCTCTCCATGTACCCCGCAGCACCTCTGTTCGGGCCCAGGGCAGCGCCACGCCTCGAACCTCGATCGCAGAACCCCGAACTTCAAACCCCGAAGAAGCCCAGGAGGACTAAATGGGCTAAATGCAAAGCGACCGAGGAGTCGCGCGGAAGGGGAGGCCGACACCTAATCGGAAGAGGAGGTGGAGGGGGAGGGCGGCGGCACGGGCCTGGATGAAGAAGCCGTCGAGGCGCTCGGCGCACCCTCGCTAACGGCCGCCCCAGCCTCAAAATCGCCGACCGACTCCTCCCCTCTCTCCACCTGGACCCCAGACTCCACCAAGGCGTGCACCGCCGAGACAAACTCCGAGGCCCCTCCAGCTCCCTCGGGTGGGGGTCCAGGGGCCTGGGACAAACCACTGCCTCTTACTAGTGCACGAGCTCGAGCCTCTTGGGCGGCGTCTCGGTGCGCCGCCTCAGCGATGGCCCCCGAGGGGCCCTTGTGGGAAGGATGCAGGCCCCTGGCAATCCGAGCAAGGACCTCCTTCCCCTTGGGACTCGGCTCGCCACACACCTGCAAAAGGTTGACAAAGCGAAACGTAGCGTTGGCCCCGCAATGAGAGCAGAACAAAACCCGCCAACGCGGGATCTCTAGAAGCTGGTGTGACGGATGGGCCTCTTGGCCTCTGAGAGTCCTCCCCCGAGCCTCCACCACCACCGCCTCCCCGAACCGACGTGGGCCCTCCACGGTCAAAGACCCCTGAGTGGGGGGCGGGCCAGGACACTGCGTGAGCGCCGACTCGTCGAGACGGCAGTCATCAACGAGAAGCTCGCACTTGGCACAGCGCCACTTAGCAGCACAACGCTCGAACGTGTGAGTGGAGGCTCTCAGGCAGAGGGCACGAGTGGACAGCGGGGCCTGACGAGCGACGCCAACTCTCACCCCACGCAGGACCTTCTCAGGGCCAATACTCTTGATGATGGCCCTTGCTCGGGCACGCACCAAGGCCGCCGTCGCATCCCACTGATCAGTGCAGGGGAGGGGCTCTCGCGCTGCCGTCCAATTCTTGGCAGCTCCTTGGCCTGCCCATGCATCTGCCACAATATTGCCACAGGCGTAAAAAGGGTTGGTGATAGCCTCTGGCGTCTCATCCTGATGGGACGGGGTCCACACCAAGGCCACATCGCGTCCAGGTTGTTGCTCCAACGCCCTGCGCAGCCTGGCCCAAAGATCCCAGTTCTTGAGACGCCGAGACCAAGCTCCAAGGGGCCTCCGAGTCCAACCCTGGCCCCACCCATTGAGGAGGGGCTTGTGGTCGGTCACAAACGTCAGAGGCCCCGAGCTGTCTTCAACCGCAACACAAAGCGCCAATAATTCAGCTCGCGGAACCGTTTGCCGTCGGCCTTCAAGCGGGCCGAAGAGGCCAGTGTGGCCTCGCCAACGACCAGCCCCGTCTGGGACGAGCGCCGCAACCGACCATCCACATCGGCGCCTCCGAGGATCATCCGAAAAGGCTCCTCCAGAGCCGTCCCCGAACAGAGTGAGGCGCCCATGAGGGTCTCTGCAGGCTTCCGAAGAAGCCCAGGAGGAGGAGGAGGAGGAGGAGGAGGAGGCTTACGCCCCCTGGCACCTCTACTCCTCGCAAATGGCAGGGCACCTCACCTCTTCTTCATCCTCCCAAGTTGTGCGGCGCCTGGTCCTCAGGGCAGCTAGGTTAGATGTTTGGAGAAGGCTTGGGGTGATTCCCCTGTCCTCTCCCCAAACGCTCAGAAGGTTCAAAAGGCGGAGGATGGAGGATGCCGAGGAGAAGGTCAAGGAGGAGGAGGAGGAGGACGAGGAAGAGAAGGAGGAGGACGAGGAGGCGGAGATGAGGTCGAGGAGGAGGTCGAGGAGGTCGAGGAGGAGGAGGCGAAGCAGCAGGAGAAGGCCTCCCCCCAGAAGGCTTCTGCCAGCAGGGGCGAGGCCCAGGGCGAGCGCAGCTGCAGCGGCGGGCGCCTTGGGGTGTCGGCTGCGCCGGCTGCGCATCGGCCAGCGGCCTCACAAGCGTGCAGGAAGGCTGCTCCGCCTCCGCGAACCCCGCGATGCCGCCCGCGCGGCAGCTCTTGGGAGTGGCCGTCGCGTCCGGGCTCGCCGCCTGCAGGGCCTTGCTGAGCTCCTGCCGGGGTGGTCATTGTCCTGCTCGTAACGGTCGTCGTCCTCCTCCTTCTCCTCCTCCTCCTCCTCCATCACTTCTTTCCATACAAATACCTCCTATCCGTCGCACCCCGAACCTTGTCGGCAGGGCGGGGTGGGCGTTTCGACTGAGATTTCACCACCACTCATTAGACTGAAGCTTACAGTTTGCAGCAGCTTCACAGATGGAAGGCGGGTGCTTTTCTTGGTCGCTCTCGCTGGGGCACCGCGCGCATTCGTCTTTGAAGTTCGCACGAGCTTCACATATTGAGGGCGGGTCGTTTTCAACATGTGGCTCTCGCCTTAGCACCGCGCACATTCACTTTAAAAGATTGCACGGACTTCAAGGATAAAGAGCGGGCCGTTTCAAACATGTAACTGTCGACGCAGCGCAACGCACATTCCCCGAAAAGTTTCACGAGCTTCGCGGATGGAAGGCGGCTCCTTTTCAGAATGTGGCTGTCGCCTGCGCGCCGCGCACAATCGTCTTACACGCTGCCAGAGCTGCACGGATGAGCTCCGTTTCCAAAGTGTGGTTTTCTTCTGAGCGCCACTTGACAACTTCAAGGGTTCAACGGATGGAGGGCGGTCGGTTTTCAACATAGAATTCACGCCGCAGCGCCGCGCCCGTTCGCCTTATTGCAAGGGCCTCACGGGTGGAGGGCGGTCCATTTTCAAACTGCGTCGTCGTAAGAGTTTGCAACCGTTTCACGGCGCGGACACAGGGCGGACCGTTTTTCTTCTGCTTGTTATCAAAACATGGAGCACTCGCCTCAGCACCGCGCACATTCGCCTTAAGAGTTTGCACGAAGTTCACGGATGGAGAGCGGGCCGTTTCCGCAGTGTGACTCTCGCCTTCGCGCCGCGCACGTTCATCGTAGAAGCCTGCACGAGCTGCACGGACGGAGGACGGCTCATGTTCAACATGTTGCCCTCCCCCGAGCGCCGCGCACCTTCGTGCTAACAGTTTGCCAGAGCTTCGCGGACGGAGGGCGGGTCGCTTTCAAAATGTGGCTCTCGCCACAGCGAAACGCACACTCGATTTGAAAGTTTCCGACAGCTTCGTGGATGGAAGACGTCCCCCCCCGAAATGCGGTTCTCGCCTAAACGCCGCGCACATTCGTATCAGAGTTTGCATCCAGTTGGCGGCTTATTACGGCTGACTTCCCAGGAATGGTGCTATGGCACGGTTTAGCTCTCTCAGGGCCCAACGGTCGGGTGGATTTACGGTGTTGAAGTCCCAGATATGGTTTTGCTGGCACGATGCACGATCGCCCAGACGCAGCAATGAGACTGGTTCGCGGCGTTGGAACCCACTGAGTAGCATGTCGGCACGTTTGAGGATTATCAAACGGTTGTCTTCCAATGGGGCAATTCCGGCAATGAGAATCCAGTCTTGTAGGGACCTATGTGGAGGGAGCTTGGAGGAAGGAAGTATTGCAACATCGTTGATGCGTCTTGGGTCTGCACTGGTCCTCCTTTTCCTCCTTCTCCTCTTCCTGTCCTTCCTCCCCCTCCTGCTCCTCCTCCCTTCTTCGGCTCCTCCTCCTCCTCGTCGTCGTCGTCGTCGTCCTCCTCCTCCTCCGGTCCTCTCACCATCCCTCATGCTCCTCCTGTTTCTCTTCCCCCGCCTCCTCCTTGTCCCCTTCTTCGATTTATCCCCTCCCCCGCCTCCCCTTCTCCCCTCCTCCTCCTCCTCCTCCTCCTCCTCCTCCTCCTCCTCCTCCTCCGCCTCCTCTTCCTGTACCTCTTCCTCTTCCTCCTCCTCCTCCTCCTCCTCCTCCTCCTCCTCCTCCTCCTCCTCCTCCTCCCTCCACCCTCCACTCTCCACCTCCTCCCCCTTCTCCCCCTCCTCCCCTCCTCCTCCTCCTTCTCCTCCTCCTCCTCCTTCTCCTCCTCCTCCTCCTTCTCCTCCTCCTTCTCCTCCTCCTGCTCCTCCTCCTTCTCCTCCTCATCCACCTCCTCCTCCTCCTCCTTTGAGGGCCCCTGCAAGGTTTCCGAGGCCCCGCCCCCGCAAATGCGCCGCGCCTCTCCTGCCCCAGGGCTTCGAGTCGAGACGCTCAACTCCGCGCGTCCCGCCGCGAGAAGGAGGACGACGAGGAAGAGGAGGAGGACGAGTAGGAGGAGGATGAGGAGGGGGGGGAATATGGATGATGATGATGAGGAGGAGGAGGAGGAGGAGGAGGAGAAAGAGGGAGGACGAGGACGAGGACGAGGAGGAGGAGGAGGAGGGGGATAGTGAGGGGGACGAAAAGGAAGAGGAGGAGGAGGACCAGGGAGGAGGATGCCCTCCTCCCTCTCCGCCCCGCTCTGGACTCCATCTCTCCCTCTCCCCTTATGTGATCGGGTAATTGGAGAGTCGAGGAGCAACTGCCCCTCCGAAACTCAGAGCTTTTTAGACCCAACGCCCCCACAAGAATCCGAGGATGCAGGAGCGATCGGCATCTAATCGACAAGGAAGATCGGGTCGGAACGTGCGCCGAATCTGGCCGCACCGGAGTCGAATTCGAATCGGATCGGCCATGCCAAGATGCACAACAACGCCATGCGACCACTGGGCCGCATCGGTTCATCGGAATACCCCGATCGAATCGGATCGAGCCGGCTGGAGCTGACATCCAATAGGATCGGATCGAAATGGGCCCTGGGTTCGGGGGAAGGGAAAGAGTGAGGCAGACAGAGGCCCATGGCTGACAGGAGGGCAATTCTCCTTGCCCCCCCGTCTACCCGCGCCGCGCTCCCGCGGGCCCGACAAGGAGCAGGAGGAGGAGGAGGAGGACGAGGAGGAGGAACAGCAGCAGCAGCAGAACAGAGCACGAGCAGGAGAAGGCTGGGCCAAAGAGATCCCCCACCTCAAGCTGAAGGCGCACGTCGTGGGACCCAGACTCAGACCGATCGATAGTGCATGGCCCAACCCATTCCCTGAGCAGTACTATCAGAAGCCTGCGTCAAGCCCCTCTCACGACACTGCATGACGAGCATGACGAGGTGCATAGGCCTGGCGCAAAGGCTGTTCAAGCCCACGTCCTTTCGGTACTCTACCTTGAGCTTGTCGACAATACTGCGCAGCGTCGACTCTACGACTCCGTCCAGGAAGTCGCCCTGCAGCAAGATGGCACCTTGCATGAGCGGGAATTCCCCACTGCGGAGCCCACCAACCCCACCATCATTGCCACGGAAGCACACACTACATGACTGACTAGGGTTGCTTGCAAGAACGTTCGCACGATGTTTCTAGAGGCACGGCCCCTTTGACATTCGCTGCCGAAAGGTGCAACGCACAAGAACATTCAATGATCAGGCACTGGCTGGGTCTGCTCGGTCAGACAGAATGGAATGGCTCGGCGCCAGGGGAGCATAGCATGTCAGAGGAGTAATACTTCACGGTAGCCCCCGCAGACGCGGACATGAGTGAGGTAGCGCTCTGGGTCCGAGATCTGGTAACCAAGACAGAAGCCAGCCAGGCCCTCCCAGGGCCCGAGAAGAAAAACGAGAGCGCAGCCGCAGGTGCTCACCTGAAACAAGCCAACACGCGTGCGACCTGAAATGGCTCCGCGTCAACAGCAAATCTGGGACCGATGGTGAGTGTTCAAGCGGAGACGAAAGAAGACAGGCGCACGGCGCAAGCGTTAGTGTGTAGTCAATACGGCAAGATCTTGTTGTGACAACCTTTTTCTGACACCGCGTGGATCGCTCAACCTACATTGATCGGCGGCTTGTCGATAGCCAGATCGTTCCATGGTGGCGGATTCTGGGCCACTGGCGGCGTTCAATCTTGAACGCTCGGGCTGGCGATGCAGCCGCATCGACACGGCACGAACCTAGCGCACGTTTTCCTGCGGCCCGGCACCCGAAGGGGCGGGCCCGGAACCCCGCGACGTCGCGCGCACCCCCACCATAGAGGAAGAAAACACTCCTTTTGGCGCTCCGCGCGGATTTCTTGGATCGCGCTAGGGGCGGCGCCAGAGGCGCCGCCAGGGGGCCCCAGCATGGATCCAAGAAATCCGCGCGGAGCGCAAACAGTTGATGTTTATGGCGTGTTTTCTTCGTCGAGACCAGGCCCCCACCGCCACGCCTCTCCCCCAGGGCCCCGCGACGCCACGGGGCTACCCGGCCAGGCTCCGCTGGGCGCTGGCGGGCGCCGGGCCCCACGAGGCTGGGATCTGGCAGTCCCCTTGCCCCCCCCCGTGGGCAGGGTACGGCGAGGGTGGAGCCATTGGAGAAGGAACCATTGGATAAGGAATCCAGGACTCGGATGACAGTGGAATTCCAATCGTGGACTGGTTATCAGAAGTGTTGCCTCCACCAGAAAAGCAACCCTCCAGGGTCTGAAGCCTCCTGGGCACATTCTTCAACCAACGCCCCAACCCCAAGCGCAATATTGCCCGCTCGCCGAGAACCAGTTCGCACGCGTGCGGCTTGAAGCGGGTTCGCGTGACCACGGTCGCCTCTCCCATGAGCCGACGTGCAGCCGTTGAAAAACACATGGCAAGTAGCAGCGGGAACGACATGATACAACGACCCAGCTAGCATTACTGGATGCTGTCGATGGCAGGCTGAGGCACGGCAACCGACAGATCGTCCTAGAGTTGACGGGTCCCCCTTCGGCGTTAGCATCACTGGTGGCAGAAGAGACAGACTTGTTTTTGAATTCATAAGCTGGGGGGGGGAGGGGGGGGCAAAATGGTCCTCATAAGCCTTGAACATCTGTGGGCCGTCCTGGCAATTGCGCAGCTACCCCTCGCACACAGAGCGGTATCCAATGGCCTCGCTCTCCGCGCTCGTGCTCGCTGGCCCCGAGGCGGTGGGCTCGCTGCGCCCCTTTCTGGCAGCAGAGCAACGCAACACTGGGTGCCGATTTCTTCGTTCGGCCAGGAGCTCGCCCGTCGTTGCTGCACCCCATCGAGCCACGATGATCTCGCTGCAGCATCGTGCCCCTCTGCTTACAATCGCCCCCCTGTGGCCTCGAGAAGAAGTCTGCGCCACGACCCTATCAGGTCCCAAATGGATCCGCGCGGCGACCAATTCCTCTCGAGGTCATTCCCTCCAGAAAAATGCTGTCGATATTCGAGCGGAATCGCGGTGGGTGCGGGATTGCAACACGCAGAAGTGATGTCACGTCCCTCAGGCTCGGGGTAAAGCCCTGCCCACGCAACCCCTGCCAACGCCGATCCCAACAACGGCCATGCCCTCCCGCGGACCTGGGTCGCTGGCGCCTGCTGGCAGTTCCACCATCGCATGCCAATCTGGTGAATATCCGGATTTTCGTTCATCCTGTTGATCCTCCACATTAAGATAATGATTATACACATTGGCGTGTAAGAGCTGGCAGAAAGGCAAACGGCAAGGTACCGAATGAAAATGCAAAATCCTTTGAATAGCTAGTCATCAACGGAATCGCGGTCGGGTGGGTGATCAGCAGTGGATCACGGCCAGATTCGTTGGAGCAGCGGCGTGGCGCGGCCTAGTTTCTTTTACAGAGACCTCCGATCACACAAACAAAGGTAATGGGAGCAAGCGGCTACTTCCTGAGTAAGCTCTAAACAAAGACTGACGACATCGTCCATGGGGCGTCGACACAAACTCCAGGGGCAATCATGGTGTGCAGTCCAGCCCTGGGACGGGGATCATGGTCTACTCCTCCCCCTCCTCCTCCTCCTCCTCCTCCTCCTCCTCCTCCTCCTCCTCCTCCCCCTCCCCCTCCTCCTCCTCCTCCTCCTTCTCCTCCTCCTCCTCCTCCTCCACTTCCTCTCCTCCTCCTCCTCCTCCTCCTCCTCCTCCTCCTCCTCCTCCTCCTCCTCCTCCTCCTCCTCCTCCTCCTCCTCCTCAACCCCAAAACATTGTCATCCCTTGGGAGGGCGCATCTCTTGCTCTCGCCGCCCTCCGCCGAGCTGCCGCCGGCCTCCCGCCCGAGCACAGACGTCAACCTCCCGATCCCGCAGAGGCGAGGGCCTTTTCTGGAATGCCCCATCTGTGTCTCAGTGGGGCACTTGGCGCCCTGTGGGGTCAGCGTTCGCAGTGGAACTCCTCCTCGCCGCCAAGACTGGCTGGGCGACCCGAGCGAGAGAAGAGGAGGAGGAGCAGCTGCTGGAACGGAGCGAGCAGCGAAAGGCGCGCGACCAACGAAACAGCCCTGCAAATTCGCATCGGCGACGCGCCCCAAAGGGGGAAAGGCAGAAGGGGGGGGGGGGGGGGGCGTTCTCAGCATGCCCAGAAGGGGAGAGGAGGAGGAGGAGGAGGAGGAGGAGGAGGAGGAGGAGGAGCGTTCTTGGCTCCCCCCTGGAGGCGGGAGGCCCGGCGCCGCCTGGGCAGGCCTGCCGCCCCCCCACTTCCCCCTCTCGGCGCGCCGCCGAGTGAAAGGTGCGAGCGCCGCAGCTGTGCGCGGCCTTCTGCGTTGGGGGCTCGTGCACGCATCGGCCTTCGCACCTCGTCACAATTCACACTTCCCCGACGGGCGTCTCTCTGTCCGAGCCTTCCCGCCTTTCTCTTCCTCAGCGCCGGTGGATGCCGCCCGAAGCCACATGCTGCTTGCATCGGCTCCTTCATTCGGGTCGGTGTGTATGTTCAAGACCTCGGAAGAGATACCGCTCCAGATCCACATGTGCTCTACACTGTCTTTGCTGCCAAGCGCGTCCTTCAAAACGAAACGCGGGCGAAAAATAAGCAATTGCAATTTAACGGGAAGCGCTCTCCTGGGAACTCGGCGGCGACGGGCTGCGCGGAGCCAGCGGTGTCTGCGGCGCAGCGCCTGGCAGTTACCAGTGCGCAGACAACGACCTCGAGCCAACGGCTAAAAAGGGAAGACTGCGAAGGGCTCTGCATACAACAAAGTCACGGAGGTAAGAGCAAAGCGGCGTTCGTTTGAACAGTATGATTGTCCACATTGCACCTTCAAAATGTTTGGGAAGCTTGCGAATGCGACCCGCGATGCAGACCCCGTGTGGAATCACACCTCATATTTGTCATGACCGGGTCGGGAATCGCATGACCTTGCTATGTGCGCTGCGCACTTTACCAAGGCTGCAGAACACAACGCAAGCAACGGGCCAACTTTTCCAGCGCACTACACGACAAGAGCGCGGGCATGGGAAAGTGGAGGCAGGCAACGCCAATGCCCACCCGAAAGCGTTCAGCAACAACGCGTCCACAATACTTCTGCGATGCTCGGATACTGTGGGGGCGTGCGTTAAGGAATGTGCCCAGGGGGCTTCAGACCCTGGAGGATTCCGTATCTGATGAGGGCGGCGGTGACAACCATCAAGGCCACTCCCCTGGTTCTGAACGTGCGACCCCACGAGCGGCCAGAGCGTCCAAGATGGCTTCAAGAGGGTCTCGGATAACCCATGATGGCCCCCGCCCATAGCCAAAGATAACTCAATTCGACTAAGCATGACGTCCAAAGTGCCTCCACGGGGCCCCAACACCACTCGCAGACAGCCCACTGTGTCCACGGAGCGCCTTAGGCCGAGGGGCCAAAATCGCTCAAAACTATCGGTGCTGCTTCTTTCCCCGATTGAGCTGATCTGGGAGGTTCATGTTTGTCAGGGAAAACGGGTGGGTAGACTCGCGCCTTTGAGCTTCCCAGGGCAAGCGCACCCTGGGTCTGTGCCTGGGGCCCGTGCGAACTTTGCCGCCCATGGGGGCGTTGTGTTCAAACTTTGCCCGCGTCGTTAAAACTTTCGCAGGTGTTGAACGAGTCCCTTTGTGCAAATTGCTGATGATTAAAGGTCGCATCGTTCACAAGAAATTACCGCGCGCGCGTAGCCACACCATACCGGTACGACTAAGCACAAGGATCGGTACCTTTTCCTTTCTCCACGCAAATGAGGCTCGCGTCTGGCACGCAAGGTCGTTCCGTTATGCTGCGCCCAAGCTCGCGCAGAAATGTCATATGAGCACGATCCTACATCACTAGGCCGAAAGTTTTTCCTCTTGGAGCTAAACAAGGACAACACCAATGAACCCAAATTGGATCCGCTTCTGGGTGTGTACCAATTTCGTGGATCTTGTTTCCGTGCTGCGCGGATCCAATTTCCCGTGTGCAGAACACGATGAATATACTTATTTCCCTGGGGTGACCTTGTACTGGTAACTACTATCCGGGAGCCGCCGGAAATTGGATCCACGGGGCACTGCACGTGAAGCATCATGCTATCCACGGAGCTGTGGCCCTGCAAACCAATGCTATGATTCTACGGGGAAAACGGTATTCCGAGGAGGAATGAGGGAGTCGGAGGAATGAGACAGGAAGGGGGAGAAGGCGGGAGGAGGGAGGAGGAGGAGGACGAAATGGAAGAGGAGGGAGGACGAGGAGGACGACGCCAAGCTGACTGTCAAAGTCGGCCCGCGTAAGTACATGAATTATACGACGACTTTTCGTGTGATAATGAGGTTGGGGAGGCCAACTGCTGGCAAATGCGATGGGTCTGGTGATAACGATACTGGCGACGCGTGTGATGACGATGTTGCGATACGATGAGGTCATTATCGTCCCCGGTTTCGATCTCAGTCGATCGATCCCACTATCGACTACACAGGATCGACCACATTCAATCGATCCCACTCTAGATCTGACGATCGCTCTGGCTGTTGATCTCGCTATCGTTCTCGATTCCACGATCGATATCCCTAGCGATCTCACGGTCGGTTATCACTACCGATCTCACGATCGATCTCGCAACGAATGTCAGATTCAACCTCGCTGGAGATCTCATGTTTGATCTCGCGATCCATCCCATTCTAGCGATCTCATTATCGCGATCTCATTATCGATATCATGATCGCCTTCACTATTGATACCAAGGCGGGACACCCCCGGCCACCGCCCGCCCACCGCCGAGGGATCACCGACGGGACACCGACGGGACACCACAAGCCACCACGGCGGGACACCCGGTGCCGCCGCGAGCCCACCGGGGGCAGAGAGGCGGTCCGCTGCATCCGAATCGCACTCGCGACGGCGTGGTCATTCCCTTCGCGCGCCCACGCAGCTTCGCCTCGCCCGCGCGGGCCGCGCGATCACAAAATCGAAACCGATTTCCTGGTGGGGGGCTCTCCGTTCCACTGCGGCCTCACCCCCCGACCTCCAATATGGCAGACACCTTGCATAAGAAGGCTTTCTCACCCACCCACATCTTAAACCAGACGGAAGAAGCTTCGCGCGCGGCTCCATGGAGGGCCAGTGCGCATGCGCCCCGGGGGAGTGCCAAAGCGTGCGTCCACTCGCAGCAATGTGCACATAAAAGTACAGGCTTGACGCGCCAACTGCATTACCTGGCGTCCGCTGGGGTTCGGATGAGCTTGCGCGTGTCGCATCCAGGATACGATCATTGTGATGGAGCGTCGCGTATGCTTGCATAGGTACACCAAGTGCTGTGCGCTTGTAATGTTCACACCAACTCGCAACCTTTCCAAGCTCAGTCGTTGCCATCAGGATCATCATCATCGTCGCCGACACCATCTTCATTGTCTCCGCGTCCTCGTCTCCTTTCTGTAGGTCACGCGCCATCATCCTCAATCCATGTCCTGCCCAATCGCCCTACCTCAGGCACGCTCTACGTCGCTTGCCCTCAACCTGCAACCCGCCCCCATCAGCCTCATCATCGTCGCCAAGCCCCATCCTCCACCCCTGTCCTCAACCCTCCCCAACTCCCTCCTCAACCAGAATGTTCCTTCATGTTCCTCCCCGTCACCACTTCTAGTGCGACTCGCCCCTCTTTCTCGCGCGTTTGCTTTTCCTCCTTCTCGCGCGTCCACCTCGATCCCATCCTCCGACGTCCCTCCCCTGCCCTGCTCCCGTCAAACCCCCTATCGCCCTCTCAAACCTCGCCCATCATCCGCCTCCATCATCAACTCCCCCTGTCAACGCTTCATGCAGATCCAACGCCATCCGCGCGCATGATCCACCTGAATTCTTGGGCCCCCTTCCACGCCATCCCAACCCTCGCCCATCGCCCCCATGGGCCAGAACCCCTCCCCCCCTATCATGCGCCCTCCCCCTAGACGTTGCAGGCCCCCTCGCTCCGCGAATCCCTGTTGGCATCGCCGACGTCATTCTCGCCATCGGGTTCCTCGTCCTCCAAGGTCGTCCTAACTTATTCCACCGTTGGCTCGTGATTGGGTCGCGGGAGATTATTGCGCTTGCTTTCAAAATCGTGGCGCGGGGAACTGTCGGGGGCCAGGGGCCTCGGCGGCAGCCGCTGGAACATGCTGACGCGGTTGCGCATCGGCCCCGCATCTTGGCGACATCCAACACAGCGCGAACGAGACAGGCCCAACCGGCGCCAGCGACGTCAATCTAAGACGCCGAACCAATCAACCCCGACAACAACGGATACTGTTTATGATGGAACGTCGCCCTTCCAGCAGCGGTCGCGCTGCTTGTCTCTGTCCAGAACGGCCTGCCCAGGCGAGCTGCGAGAGGCGCAGACGGGGTTTTCAAACAGCACGCTAGTGTTACACTGCTGGTGTTGGTTAGCTATTGATGCTGTTCGCTGACTCCGCGTTGCTGCTGCCATGGCGTGTCGCGCGTGTTGCTCGCATGTGCTGCGTCTCCTGCGCTGCCCTGCCGCGGTGCTCCACAATTTGCCGTGGAACCTCTTGAGGCCCGCCGCCCCGCCCCCATGCATCTGTTGGGGTTGGGCGCCGAGGAAGTCCGCGCCGTCGCGGCCGACGGCCGTCGCGACGGCGGCCGCGGCGTGGAGAAGGAGACAGACTACGCGGATGAGATGTAGGAGCAGAAGGAAGAGGAGGAGGGCAGGAGGTTGCCGGATGAGGGGGGACAGGGAGGAGGAGGAGGAGGAGGAGGAGGAGGAGGAGGAGGAGGAGGAGGAGGAGGAGAAGGAGAAGGAGGAGGAGGAGGAGTGGCCCCGCGGGGCCCCATCGGCCCTCCTGAGGCCCTCGCAGACCTTCCGATGCCCTCCTGAGGCCATCTGGGGCCATTCGAAGCCCTCCTGAGGCCCTCGGGGGGCCCGGAGTTGCGGCGCCCCCTCCCCTTCCATATTCATGTAGCTCCATCTCTCGATCAACATGTCAATATATGCATATATGTATCTGTATTATATATATATATATATATATATATATATATATATATAATATCCCCCTCGCTCTCTCTCTCTCTCTCTCTCTCTCTATGTTCTCTCTCTCTCTCTCTCTTTCTGTCTTCCTTTCTCTTTCTGTCTATCTCTGTCGCTCTCTGTCTCTCTCTCTCGCTTTCTCTTTCTTTTTGTCTCTCTCTGTTTATTTATGTATATCTGTCTCTCTCTCTCTCTCTCTCTCTCTCTCGTTTCCCTCTGTCTTTCTCTCTCTGTCTCTCTCTCTCTCTCTCTCTGTCTTGCGCTCTCTCTCTCTCTCTCTCTCTCATGTGTTTTTCTTGTTCTCTCTCTCTCTCTCTCTCGCTATATGCTTATATCGAATATATATATATATATATATATGATTTTGTATATGTTTCATATTTTTCTGTCTTTATTGTTTGTTACTTCTCTCTCTCTCTCTCTCTCTGTTCCGACCCTTTTCCGAACAACTGGCCTTTGTTTATGCGCAGCTGGTGCAGCGGCGGCAAAACCGCGCATTGGCCCGAGGTGCTGTCTCGGTCGTAGAACGGCAATTCGATGAAACCGCGTGCTCGCGCACGGCCTCGCGCTGCTTCGACGCGACCGGACAGCCGGCCTCGAGCGTGCTAGCGGCGCCCTCGGAGGCCGAGGGCTTCGGCGCGTCGGCCAGGACAGTGCCCTGGTTGATGATGTTTGCAACCTGCAGCAGGACAAACCGTATGGCGTCGCTGAAGA